GAGGCTGGGAGTTTGAGACCAGCCTGGTCAACATAGTGAGACCCCCATCTCTACTAAAAAAAAAAAAAAAGCTGGGCACGGTGGCTCACGCCTGTAATCCCAGCACTTTGGGAGGCCAAGGTGGGCAGATCACAAGGTCAGGACTTCGAGACCACATACATCAGGGAATGGAGCGTTTACAGATACATCACAACAGAGAAATAGGCGAGATTGGAGCCACATCATGGAGAGCTGGAATAATAGTGCAGTTTAGTGAGATACAGAATATAGGGGCAGATGCAATGTCACAGTGCAACCCAGCTGTCTTGGTTCAAATCCTTTTGGCCACTAGACTGTCCCTCGGGCACAATCTTGGGCAATTCATCTAGCCATGCTGGCCTCAGTTTCCTAAAATGAGCATTGCAACTGAACCTACTTCATAGATGTGTCATTTTTAAGTGAGTTAAATCTAACACATTTAGAGCATTACCTGGTAAAGAATAAGTACTCAAAGTTAACTACTATTGCAGATAATTGCTGTATTACTAAAGTGAAAAAAAGATAAGATTAGGCCAGGTGTGGTGGCTTATGCCTGTAAACCCAGCACTTCGGGAGGCTAAGGTGGGTGGATCACTCAAACCCGGGAGTTCACGACCAGCTTAGGCCACATGATGAAACCCCTTCTTTACAAAAATACAAATAATAAGATTAAAATAAAAATTGGAAATCCTAGAAATTGTTCAGAAAGCAAGCTTTTTAATTTGATCACCTTTTTTTTTTTTCCAACAGTGTCTCACTCTGTCACCCAGGCTGGAATGCAGTGGTGGATCACAGCTCAGTACAGCCTTGATCTTCTAGGCTGAAGTGATCCTCACATCTCAGTCTCCCAAGTAGCTGGGACCACAGGCACACAGAACCACACCTGGCTAATTTTTTTATTTGTAGAGGTAAGGTCTTGCCATGTTGCCCAGGCTGGTCTCAAACTCCTGAGTTCAAGCAATCCCACCTCGGCTCCCTAAAGTGCTGGGATTACAGCTGTGAGCCACTGCGCCTGGCTTTTGATAACTTTTTACTTTAGCAAAGTTTTTATGTTTCCTTTTAAAAATGACAAAGCAAAGACAATCAGTAGCTGATGAAGCAAGGTTTATCTTTATAGAGGTTCTAACTAATCAATGAAGAATGAGTAATAAAATACCACCATTTTGCCGCACCTAGTGAAAAAATGGATCTAGGCAATGAAGAGCTTCTAATATCATTTTAAAAGACACAACGTTTAAGAGACTCCCATAAGCAAAGTCTACATAACCACAGAGCATAACCACAGGTATGAAGTAGTTTTGCCAAAAACAATTTAAACGTGAATCTGATCAAGTTTCTAGAGCAGTTTACAAGAGATACAGGGAACAAAGGACACATGATATACCACAAGTCTAGAAAAATCTTAACTGTGTGAAACTCCTCAGGGCTAAGGATCCAGTTTCTTCAACAAATACATTGCAAGGAAAAAAAGAAAAAAAAGAGAATCTAAAGATTAAAATAAACCAACAATATAACAACCAATTGCAATGTATGTACTTTCTTTGAATCCTGATATGAACAAACAAAATGCCACAAAAAAGAGAAAAAAATCTGACACAGGGAAATTTGAACACTGACTGGATATTAGATAATATTAAAAAGTTTTTATTTTCTTAGGAAC